AAGTCAATGACCAAACTGGGTAAATACATGAAACTAGCTGCATTTTGACCTCATGATACTGATGATTTAAACTTCCTAATGGTGACCTCGTTAATTATGAAAAAGATGTCGTTGGCCCAGCTAATACCACTTGCAGCTTTAATTAGCCTTATTTTCTTACTGACTCAGATAACCCTTTTTTGCATGCAATATCTTACGCATCAGATTGTGTTTAAGTACTTAGACTTCTTGCAAAATTAAGACTTGTCGCGTCATCACTTGTGTTCGTTACCGTGACGACTGACAGTTATCAGTAAACACTCTTCACTGGCAGCTGCACTGTTCATGCACTGAACAAAACATGGAAAAACACCTTTAAGTAGCATGTGCATTTTTTTTAAAAAAAGGCAAACAATTCGTACATGACTTGTGAGGCGACATCCATTACGTTTGTGACCAGGTGTCATTCAATTGCGCAATCGTATATTTTGATGACGTAGACGATTCTGTTGGTAATCTCTGGCTTGACGTCATCACTGTAACGGTGTACTATTTCCCTTTTACAGTTTTAACAGACTTTACGTATATGAAAGGGTGGCATGAACTGCTCTTTTCATCGTTTACAAACAATTTAATCCGTGAGCCAAAATTATCTCCTGCCCGTTTAAATTTTCTTTTAATATCACAATTTGACTCGTTGTCGGTCGGTACATTGGTACACGGAATAATTGGTTACTTTATATTGTATTGAGTGTAACCTAGTGTCATAGCATTTGTTCATCGAGAAACCCCGGCTGTACGGTCTTATTTGCATTCAATGTTTGTACGGGTAAATTTGCACAAGATAAAGTAGGACATGTATACGTATATGTTTTAGTAAACAAACAACACAAAGTACACGCTTCATGAAACAAATCGCACACAGGAGATTGTATGCAACGTGTTTGTTATAATCTAACTTATCACGCCAATGTAACTGTGCCATGCGTGATATCGGGGGATGGCAGCTGCACATGTCGCGGCGACCCAATTATGATGGATCGAGCTGAAGAGCGCCAAGAGAATTATCCTTTAACAAAATCCTTGTGCATGCATGAATCTTAATCATAACCAGTATATGTCTGCATATTCCTCATTATTTGGTGATAAATGTGAATTTCGATTGTTTATGATCCCGTTTCTACTTTGTAACATTTATTTTACATATTTTAACACGCATACATATGTATCAAGTTGATCAAAACATTACAGTCATCCGCCCGAAACTTTGACAATAACTTAAGTATTTAAGTAAGTAACTTAACTAAACACATTCTTGATGATATAAAACACAAATGTGAATGCACTTTTAAATTGAATCAATAGTACATACAGGTGTTCAAAGAGCATGCGCGGTATTCCTACTTATATCTCATTCCGATAAATCGATATATGTTCGTGCACTGCTAACGCAACTGTTTTATAAACCAATTGTAATGCGTCTGAAACAAGGTACTTCGATGTATTTTCCGATGCCCACTTGTGATTTGAATAATTTAGAAGTTCGATATGTTTCAGTAATATGAATATTTTGCTAGCAATATATGTAGATTATATAGACGTTAAATATACAAAATATTATAGTTTGCTTTACGCCCAGAGACGCCAGGAGAATGAAAGAAAGTGTTCAATGACAAATTACGCATCTCACAATAACCAGTAGAAATACAAGTAACTCCTAAAGGTCTAGTACTAATATTTTCTATCAAAACACACATAATTAAAACACGTTGAGGTGCCGAAAAGAAAGAAAAGGTCTCATTTTAAATTACCTTTTTTGCAATTCGTTTATTTCATACCCACTGGGAAACACGAGACATGTTTGTTTCCGGCGATAATTTGTTTTTATTTGTCGTCGCCGAAAAAGTGATGAAGAAGATGAAATCCACTTCATATGGTAACGATCACCAAAGATTAACAATTATGTAACAAACCCATACGAATACCGAAGCGTGTGTAGTGTCTTTCGTATCCTGCCAATGCATGTGGTCTACTCTATTAACTTGTCAGTTTATCGTGCGCGTCGTAACTCCTCGTTTTACTGGAAATAAAACCCTAATAATTTTAAAACGATTTAAATATTTGAATAATCTAACCGAAGCTCGATACACACCAGAATATTATATTAATACATCACAGTCGTCGCGCCCGTTGTCTTCGATATGAGTTCCATAAAACGCATGTAAATAATAAACAATTATTCACTGCGATTGAGGGGTATGTGACAAATCTTCATATTCCCCTACCCTCACATTTAATAATTGTTTCCTCGTCAAATTCGTGTGGTGATTTGAATATTTGTGGTGTCAGCTGCAAGCACTGCGTCGCGGAGTGCAGCAGCCTGGTAGACCAGTTCCGAGACAAGAGTCGTGTTTATTGACGAGAGTGTCATATACTCGTCTGCAGATCCGTTTGCGTTTGCTTACGTGTACAAATTGTGCACGGGAGCGATCGTGTGAAATATTGTTGTGGTTCTCTGCATCCGTATTGATGAGAATTTTCGAATTGTCATAGTTGTCAAGTTTGTCACGCCTGTCTGTAGTTTAACTTTCTAAACATTTTCTTTCGAAGCCCCATTTTACTTCTGTAAACTGGGCAGCCAACATGGTGTGTGGCTCGCGACACAAGCGCAGTAAAAGCCAGAGTGATTTGCATACACGGAGGGGTATATTCTGATTTATTCAATTCCACATGCCAAGCTCTCCTCCAATCTGCTCGACGTATTCGAAATGCGCTGCACGCAAATGTGTCAACTTTTACCTATAAGTAATGTGTCTACCCGTCATTACAACGTACTAATCCCAAATGCAACTCAAAATCGCACGCGTACAGAATAATATAAATTCGACTCCAGCCTAAAACTCGTGGGTCGATAAAATAATGTCGTACACTGCTGGAGTCGATTGAAGCGAATGATAGAAAACACAAACACCAATAATTACAAAAAGAAAATAGTGAAATGAAAGCATTTATTTCATATTTAAGTCATTGTAAACTTAAAATCAAATATTTTTAATCGATTTGTAAAAATTATCAACTTCATAAATAGTTGCATTAAAGCCCGTCTCCAATAAAAAAATAGTGTGCCCATAAGTGAATCTTTGCATGGAAAATAAAACCAATATTATTCAGCTGGTAGAATTGATTATTTCGTGTGACTAAGTGGTTCTTTAAAAAAAAAGAAAGAAAACAAGAATATGTGTGTAATGCATATACAATACAAATACACACGTCAGTCATATACACACAATTGGGGGATTTATTTATTGTTTATACTTTTATGAAGGCAACTGTCTTATACATTATCCAACGGGAATTAGTACGATGTAGTTCTCCTTAATTAAAGTAAATGTCGAAAAGACCAATCCTAAGTAACTATTAATAATTGAAGGACATGGAGGATTACCACTTTATTTGTAATTGAAAATGCCAACTTTTTGTTAATATTGAATGTGCATATTTAGTGATTTATAGTGTAAATTGGCGACACGGGGCATCCGTGGGAATTAGAATTAAGAATAGAGAGACTCCCCGGCACACGTTGACGTTAGTAAATGTAATGCACTCAATATAGTATTTATGAGAAATTTGTAATTTGCAACACTAATTGTCAAGGAGCCGTCGTTAACACGTATTATATTGTGACAGTATTCTACAATGTGTCCGTAGAATCAGAATTAAATGGTAAAAAAACGGCGCAGGAGAATAGAATTGTTGCATTCACCGTAAAGGTATGGTAAGTTAATTTAGTTGCCAGCGATTATTATTGGTAAAAATTTAAGTCAGAGTCACGCGATAAAAGAACGTCGATCGAATGAGAATATATTCTAGATTGTTTAATAACACTGATAGATCTATATGTATCGACTATTTGCATTTTCCCATTGTTACTACATTGTTTTCTTCTGCAATCCGGCAAATGTATTCCATTGTCTATATATCCGATTCTGTCAAACATTTAAGTTTATCATTATAGAAAAACACAATAACGGCTAAAATAAATATATCAATTGGTTCTCCTATATCTATGTGTCAAATTACTTCCCGGAAAGCAATTACTGCATTTGATCCAACTATGTGGAAGTAAAACTTCCTCACAGATTAATTGTCACTTGAATTCGTATTTAGATTCCAGCTGAGGGAAAAAAATTCAATACTGTCTGATTGGAAGAAAAAAAGACTTTACAGGAAAGATGCGTCGAATTCAGAATTATCTCTTGACAAGAAATGGGTAAAAAGCAGACGAGAACCGTCGTCTATCGGAAGTCAGGCTACTTTCGAAGAATATGACATCATTTTCGTGAACTGTCAGAGAAAAGCAAAACTTGACTGGCATCTTTTCTTCTATACATACTTGTAGAATTCGCGTTTTTAAACTTAGAGAATGTGCTGTATTTGATACCCATGAATATTTTCTTAAGGACCCTCCCATTACCGGTGGATTTCGACTTCCAGCTGAATCGGCATTGCAATTCAATAGATGCCATCTGAGTTGTTCATTAAGTTCATAAACGTCGTTTGATCTCGAGTGTGAATTGCAGATATGCATAGACATTTCAAAGAAAGACATCACTTGCTTGTCAGTTTGGATGTTTTGAATCTATGATTGACTGTGAGCGTATTGCAATATAGTAATCCCCACTTCTAACACGCTGTCATCATTAGGGTGCATCTACGGCACTCAAGTGTTATATGTTTTTTTGACAACGTTAGCATATGTCATATGCGAAACGTCCAATTTTTAATACAGAAACAAAAGCATCCGTTCATTCTTTAGAGAGAGAGAGCATGAACGCCATTTTTACCTTTGTCGGATTAAATTGGAATCGCTGATTTCTGCGGGAACACAATTATCGAGAAAGCTGTGCTTCCACGAAGAATTCACCAGAGATGGCGGATTTAGCGTTGGCTGTCGATTTCACACCTGCGCCACGCGGCATGTCAATCGCCCACTATACATTATGGTCATAAATCGGATAAATCTAGCTGTCATTTGCAGCCATCTCCGCATAATACTTTTCCATCGGGTCAGTCCCGTAGTAATTGTGCAGATAAAAGGGCCAGTAGACAGAATTAAAGAACAAGAAAGCTAAGGGGAACAATCCCCTGGAGTATTTATCTATCGTCCTAGAGAGTCTCCTGAAACTTCTTTTTCGGGCAATCCTCGGTGTTTCTGGCGGCCTCCCGTCTTCGATGTTAATCCGTAGTTCTTGGTGGTGCAGTATGTCTGATCTTACTGGTGTGTAGTCTTTTAAATCAAGGCGACGCAATGGTATACTACTCTCCGAGTAATAATCCTGAAACAAGAAATGTAACTGTTAGAATACCATATCTAAATCAACTAGAGATAAAATAGGCGTTACTAATCAAGACTTGTCTGAGGGCGATAAGTAATGTTTTACGTCACTTCTGTTTTTAACCCTATCATCGGTTGGTAAAAAATATATCTCTCTGACCCGGCCCTAACATTTTGTCGCCAGCAAGGATATCACTTTAACAGTTTATGCAATAGAAGTGTGCATTGTACTGGGTTAAAATACTGGCAACATATGGATCTGAAACGATAGTTTAAACGAACGACCGACTTTTACTGCGCATGCGTCACAATTAACAATAATAAAATAGATTTATTCCGTTCTTTTGTGCAACAAAGAACATAAAGCCCCCATGATAGTGTACATGCACGGAAGTATAATCCCGCCAAAGTACATTTCATATACATGTTAGACCAAAGAACTAAATCGAATTTTAAACGAGTCGAATCTGCGGGCCACTGGGCTGGGGGAGCATGACAAAACAACATTTTAGTTAGTTGGCGCCATCATTTGTGATATTTTGAATAGGCATGTAAGAACAGATCTAATAGTGATCACTGAAGTAGCATGAATGTATTCGAGGGATATACTAAATTTCACAATTATCTTCTTAGCAAAATATAGGGAGACACAAAGCTAGTCTTGTCGGCACAGTGGGATGTCGTAACTCCAGACAAGACAGCGCGCATAGAAATGACATCGATTTAGCCGTGTTAACGTATACATGAATTCAACCCATATAACATAGACTAAGATGAAACCAATATTATAACGGCGTAACCACACATTGAAGTGCCATTTATCTGGCCTTATAAATGAGGTGGCATTGGTATAACCACGTTAACACGCGAAATAATGAGGTTGTTCAGCCATGTCAACGCTTTACAGAATATTTATCTGGCTGTATCTAATCATGTTACTATGCACGTAGTACTGGTATACCTCTAATCGAATAAAAAGATAACATCTAGCAGTGTTACCAAATATAAAATGCACCAATCCAGCCGTGTTAAAACAGCCGGCGTGGAACCTACCCTGGCCATGCTAACTTCAGACAAGATTATTAGTCGACGTCTTAATACACTAAGATGAAATTGACATAGTATTTTTAATAGGCACGTATCTTTGGTACCATGTTTACCGAGTTAAACGATGTAAATCTAGTTGTGTTACTAAAATGTAAATTTGGACCAGATCAGCTGTGTTAAAACACAATGGTTTGGAATTTATTTGCACGTGTAACCGTGCACTAAGATGAAATTGAAATAACATAGTAAATATGCACTAGCATTGTACACTGTGAAGATTGAATTGATGTATTTGGCTTGGCACTGGAGATATGGCACCGACCTAGCAGCCGCGTCAAGATGCATGTTGGCATTGACATTGCTGTATTAACATAGAGTGCAATGGCATCCTACCAATAACATTACTCTAGAAGGAACGTCATCCCATCTCCATGATAACCCACAGTGATGCCCATGATAACTCACAGTGTAGCAACACAGATCTAGTCGATGGAATGGCATCCATATGGCAATGCTAAGATCGTGAACGTGAAATAATGTCCGAATAGCCGTTATGATAAAACATGGTGACATACAAATTCCGTATATCTTCTGCAAGCAATTGGACGGCATTTTCTCCTATTTATTACTCTATAATTTGGTTTAAATATAAAAAAATAAATTGCCGTGAAATGTTTTTGTTGAATAATAATTCAATGACATCATAAAAAGTGAGGTTATAACATATAGCTAAAAGGACGACAGTAGCATCAGTTATATCACATATTGAATCATACAATAAATAATGGGAGAGTGGGAACTATGACGCGTGAAATTGGCTAATTACTGGCATAGTGTAAATCTAATAACTTCTGTCGAGCGATGTTAGTAAATGGGGATGACAGTTAATGTTTCCAAACTTTCCAGCAATCTTAGTCAATGTCCTTAAATAGTGTATGACCTGACTGTCGGAGGCATATCTCATCTCATTCCAATGCTAATGACAGAAGTGTCCAACTTTTATGCTTTATGCTTATTCTTGTTAGCGCAATTGCCGCAGGTAACCATTTCTCATATAGGATTTAAGTCTATGTCTGTGCATATCTATGTCACCCAGTTATTAGGGCTATTCAATGAGTAATGAATAATAATTATATTTTTATTTTTCTATTCAAGTTAAAATAATTGATGCGTTTTGTTAATTTTCTAAGACCGGTAGAAAACGTCTGTCGGGATTACAATTACAATCACATATTTTTCGGTTGTCACGCAAGCCATGATAATGAAAAAATTACAATACACGTATTTTGGCTGAAATGATATGTTTCTCTTTATAATTGAATGCAATTTCTCTTTGAACCCATTCGCTATGTACATCTGTTGTGAAGCGATAATGGGATTCATTGTCACAGTTTTTTTTTATGAATTTTATAAATAAACTAGCGTAAAATAAACAGCATTTGTGTTTCTCGTCTAATAACCGGAATCGCGGAGCAGGGAAAATGACTCGTTGTTATTACGTGTATGTATTAAATGCATGCACAATTTCTGAACGTATCTTTCATCACACGATGACGCCTCTGGCCATTTTCAATTGCATCGATTCAACGTCAAATGTGTGGGTATCCGTATTATTGTTATCGATAGTAGCTATAAAGGAATTTATAATGAAAAAATAAAGTGCAATTCCATTCATTTCAAGTTGTGTTGGCAGTGGCGATCATCGATTGGCAAGTCGAGCAACTTGATTGAGGTCAATCTAGGTCAACTTCAAATCACGTGGGTCAGTACACACAAAGAGATGAAAACAAGCCTTCGAACGTGTTTATAATTCTTGGGTGAACAACTTGGAAACGAGCCTTGGGAGAATCGTGCAGTATCATGTAAGTGTAAAAGTGTGTTATTAACTTTACCTTACAAGACTTTTAAAATATTAGCTTCATTAAAACATTACGTACATACTAGATACAAGCGAGGAAGGTTGGTAAGTGCTCATCATTATTAGTATCGTTATTCAGTTTCGCGAGAGGTGAATATATGAAAGTTAATAATGGCTATGTAGTCATGGTTTCCGTATTAATGAACTTCGAAATTACTCGACTTCCTGATAAGCGTAAAACTGCCAACCACTATTTCACATGGTATAAATAGGTACACGCGTCTTCAACGTTGTCTCTATGGTACCAACACGGGGTAATAACACTCATGTTGCAAAATCATACATGAGTAAATACTCAACAACAAACAGATAATATTTATATATATATACATCAATCAAATAAATATATGTCAATGTCTTCGGTTGTATTCAACTGCCTCGGTTGATATCAAATAAACATCTGAGAATCACTGTCTTGTCGGGTCGATCAACGCATGCGCAGCGAACCGATGAACGGTTATACGAGTGTCCGAAAAGTTTCAATACCTGAGAAGAACTCTTGCGAACTTCTTCAGGGACCAAAACTTTTGAGACACCCTATAAAGTGGTATTTTGCAGTCGCTCAACTTACAACGTTGTTATCGCTCTCAGAGTAGAACCATCAGCTGGCTTTACATTGCACACACAAAAGATAATACATAAGCTGTGACACGTTTTTTTCTTATTGACAATAAGCCCCACATTTATCCCAATTTTATCATTTCAGTCATCGTTTCTAATTCAACAGACGCCATAACACACTTTGTGTTATTCAATATGGAATACAGCAATACACTTATATTGGGGATGTTGATCTATGAGGGACTGGGAATAAACCACGTACTCCCAAATACAAATAACGTATAAAAGAGAGAGGACAGTTTCAAACCTATAGAGATACGACATGCATGCATTGCACACGGCCCTTAACCTATTACACGGATTATATTCACAGCAGTCACATCAATACAACAACGCCGACAGCGTGTAACCACAAAACTGATATTCAGTCAACATGCCATGTTCCGGCTAAGCGCAGCAATGGTCACACAGTAAATATGACGAAATAGATTTAACATTTCAGTTTATCAAAAATTCATTAGAACTGAAATGACTTTAGTTATTATTCTATAACACCGAGAGTGGTCACAAGCCAGGAAACCGACTCTAGAAGCGCCTGTAATTATTTATATATGAGCAAATTAATTGTTTTACCGAGGAATTGTAATACATCGTCTCTGACTTCTTGTGAAGATAACTGGCTACGGCAAACTCCAATAATGCAGCGAAGACGAATATCAAACATACCAGCATCCAAATGTCTATAGCCTGTAACAAAACAGAAATACGCCTATGTCAGTCATTTTTTTTATAAATAGCAAATCATATGCGATTTCATAGTTGTTATCTGTACGTGAATAGGACACACGGAACTTGTAACGCGGCGGTGAAAATAACACTGGGGAATTTTGAATTATATTTACATGAATATATTGTTCATCGATCGAGAAGAAAGAGATAACACATGATCAAAAATCCCCAGTAACAGCAGTACTAATGTAAAAAATCTGTTTATGAATAGTCCTTGTTTATTTTATAATGTTCTCATTGCGACTTAAAAATATATCAGTATCGCTTTGTTAAGCAGATTTACAATACGTATTAGTACGTCACGAATTAAAATGTCGACCGAATATATTTCCTTTTTTGGAAAAATGATACTGAAAAGGCGAGTGTATGTTTTGAGGAGGGGGCAACTGCGCTATTGGAGTTATCCAGGCCGAATTGACACCCATCTTGATACGGAAAACAATGACATTTCACATTTTATAATCCGTTATTGAATTTCCTTTGCGCGTTTTTTTTCTTCAAATTAATTACTGAATTTAAATGAATTGTGCAAATGGTATACGGCGTGGCAGTCAGTAATAAGTGCATTAACGAATTATAGCACGATGTATTTCATCTCATTTCTTGATCTACATGTTAGTTGGTATTTACCGTATGGTGAACTTCGAACTTTTTTGGATGAACGGGGGTCATGCACTTTGAGGCTGTGTAAATATCACGATATTTGAAAATAATCCACTGTGGCGTACACCATGCTCCTATATTTATAACAATAACTAAATCTAGCTGACTGGTTATTCATATCACCGTGCAGTAATTATGACACGATGATAAGTACGGCGGTCCTTGAACAGTACGTGGTGAGTCGTGTCAGGGCAAATTGACATGTATCGTTGTTTTTAATCCCGTAGTGTTTTGCTGTATATATGTATCTCCCTCGCTGTGATCGGGCGTGAAGGCATTTTTGCAAACTCATAGACTATTTCCTACAACGTGATATTGTTAGAGATATGATTCCTACTCCGCGGTGTGGGCCAATGACATGTTCTTTTCCCATCAGGTTCCCGACTCGAAACTCATTATCCTATCTTGAGTGTCAATTAGTTCATGAATGCTTAACCCGCCCGTGTGTAACAACATAATGATTGCAATGAACACGGCAAGGCCGGACTACTGCTGTTTAATACAAACATATGTTCTGTACTAACCGAACAATTATAGCAGAAACCGTTAGACGGTAAATATCCACCACGTGCTGTTGCGAGACAGTATGACATTATTCACACTCACAATGTCGACCTATTATGAGCTTCATTCTATTTCCAGTCTGAGTGGTATTAGATCAGTAATAGCTGTTGTTCGTGATTTACCCACTGCACACGTGTCAGATAGTCGGTAAATCTACATAGTGTCTTGCTACATGTGTAAGACTAGCAGTCCCTTAATATATCAAGATTATACCAAGAACAATCTTGACATTTTAGAGCTATAATGTTTTATTCTAAAATATAAACACCAACGTATTATTACATGCCACGCGAATTAAATTAATAGATCAATTTTCCAAACTGAGAAGGGCCGGAATTACACTTAGTTAACCAACAATACAATTGTATACTCTCTGGAAACGGATCTTTATTAGATTAACTACAGTGCCATGTGTCTGGTTTGTGAGGAAAGTCTGCAAGTCAGAACACTGGGTCTTGAATTGTGTCATCTTATTAAATTATCGAGCTTTACATAGTAGAGGGATTTGTATAGTGTAAAGTGTAACTATGGGCTTCCAGTGACAGGAGATGCGTCGTGTGATACATCGAAGTGGTGCTAAATAACGCCAAGTGAATAGAAACACATAAATGACAGCGTTCTGAAGTGAGCGAGTTGGACGTGTGTGATATATGTACTTTTATGTCTTGCATAATGATACTTCTCATGTTTTTGCGAGGTTTATTTATTTGCATGCCGGAGTTGATAAATTAGCAACACGACTCTGTAATTAAGACAGTAAATTAAAACAATCAAACACGACTATTGCGATCGCCAGTAGGACAATGTTACCTTTGATAAACCAATTATATTGCTCTGGGGATCTGTTAACTCTAACCGCCACTACGTTATATTAATTCAATTTATCTCGACATTCAAAAGTTATATTAAATCATTATCGATTATAATGTAAGTTGACAAATGATTAAATCCATTTAATTAGAAAGCGTCGTGTCGTAATTGCATTTTGGGGGTTTGGTCCGTTTTCCTTAGAGAGGATTATGTCAGGCAGATCAAAAAAGCAAGTGAGGAATTAACATGTAAAGTAACATATGCGCCGCAAAGTTTTTGCAGTTTTTATAAGTATATGAATTGCCGAAAGATTACAACATTTGAATACGACATTTGAGGATTACACGAATGCATTTACATGCCTGTAACATGATTGATAAACATTTTGTGTAGTTCTGCATACTATTTTTGTAACATGTTTATATACAGTACGTGACAAATAATCCGACACGAGTGGAAAGTTCTACCTATTTACATACGCGGGGACAGTTCAGCGACCCATATAGCGGCATAATCATAGTGACGTAATTATATATTACAATATGACTCACCTTTGTGTATGATACTCGCGCCATCTGTGCCCTGGCTGACGAGCTTAATGTAGTTAATGTTAGAGCTGTTGTTATTCCCAGACTTGCCCTCGCAGGAGTAGCTTCCACACTTAGCCAAAAAGACACCCATGACAGTATAACGAGTAAAAATGACGGTGCGTAATGTTCCATAACGTAGAAGATTAGTTCACGGTGAAGAGAGAATCGACATTCTAACTGGTCGAAGAAACCTGTCAAAATAAACAACTCACTGTCAACACGAAATCCGATATCCATTAAACATGTGAGCCATTGAATTATTCCGATTCGCAAGGTAATGGCGACACTGCAAAGCAGGTATATGGACAATGCAATTAAATCAGAACTTCCTATGAAACGTGAGATGCATAAAAACGTTTACTGTATATTAGTTCAAAAGAGACTCTTAACAGCCAGTTTGAACTATCTGAACGACATGTTTTGAGGCGAGGCAAATTAAAATGACAGCAACTTGTCAATTTTACGCGTAACTGGTGCTTGATATTTAAATATGCAAAACAACATTTTCATTGAGTAAGAAGTATGACCTATGTATTTCATTAGGAAGCTTCTCCTCACATAATATTGACATCCATAATGTACATTGCGAATTATAGACATTGTATCAGAGTACGTTTGTAAAAGTAATTATGTTGACTCTAGCCTAGAGAAGAAAATTCATGTTGAAAACGAGAGAACATGTTTTTCCAAGTTTACGTACAAACATAAATAATAGTAATAGAATAAATGATGTCACAGCATAACATAGATCAGGCATCTATTGTAAAAATATCTCATGACAACATCCTGTTAAGACAGAATTATAGAAGACATAACACTTAAAAACAAAGTGTCTTATAGCATCTGCCTATAGCAATAACATCCCTTATATCGTTGTTGATTATATAGCTCATCAAAATTCTGATGAACCAGCCTGTAGTAAAAACATTAACAAATTTATTTGAAGGTCCCTCGTCGTCGCGTCGATTACTTGCTAATAGACAGTCTCGTGGGCGATGGAATAAATGAATTGCACAGCCCGTCATTTATGTATATCTTCAATATATTAAACGACTCTAAATCAAGTTAGGGAATAGTTAGCTGCAGCTGGGGGGAAACTAAATAAGATTCTGCATGACTCGGTTTCATCTATATCTCTTGTCATCATCAAGCGCAATGCATAAACCAGTGCGTAGGTAAATCATATAGAGTGTTGTAATTTCCACCTTCACGAGACAGCGTGTATCTGAAAAACATTTGGTCCATCCAAACGTTTTTCAGATGCTACTATGCATCCAAATGATACTATAGCAATTTAGTTCAATTAAGACTTTGCATTAGATATAAGTGATGAATTGTAATTATTTAGTCGAAGGATAGCATAATAACAAAATAGAAATGATCGAGATGAACCAGTGATTTATATTCGCACTATTCCCATCTCCCAAACCCTTCTATTTAATTTTATAAACCGATACACACAAAATATAATCAATAAAACAGTCAAGATTTGATCAAACGTTTACAAAGCTGCCCATTCTGCAACTGAACTACTGATCAAATTTATTAAAATGGAGTTTTCTTTGAAAACATGACGACAGTGTTGACGGACAGCAATAAACATCCCCGCCATATGAAACTTGGGTTTAATCTAAACTCAACCTAGCGAGATGATTGAAACATTGCAGCAATCATTTGTTTCTTAATGGCTTTTTATTAACTTTCATTGAAACAAGGTTCCAATTTGAGTATACCAGCATGGTACCTTTGATTGTTCAAGTTCATATTCATCCTGAAGGCGGGGAAGATGAACAATATTGATGAGTATGTGGAGTAAACCCAAACAATACAGATACCCACCGACTGTAGGGTAATTCAACGTTTTCTTGAAGACAACCGGGTCACCAACTTGAAATTCCGACATGATCACTTCACTCGCCATGACTGCTGCGAAATCGTCATTCCAATCCAGTTGCATGTCTCGGGTAGTATATCCAACTGTAAGATAGACAAATGGGTCAAAGTCAACTTTCGTCTGCTTTCACAAAATACCTCGCTATAAGGGGGACATTTTAGAAATATCTCTCTATAAGAGGGACATTTTAGAAATATCTCGCTGTAAGAGGAACATTTCAGAAATATCTCGCTATAAGAGAGAAATGTTAGAAATACCTCGCTATAAGAGGGAAATTTTAGAAATACCTCGTTATAAGAGAGAAATTTTAAAAAATACCTCGTTATAAGAGAGAAATTTTAGAAATACCTCGCTATAAGAGGGACATTTTAGAAATACCTCGCTATAAGAGGGACATTTTAGAAATATTCATGTGAATGTGCAAAAATAAAAAAAAAATAGCCGGTGAAAGTTGGCGGGAATAAATAATAATGGCGTTCGTATGACCGATACAGAAATGCGTGTGTGTTAATGGTGGTCGCATTTAAATCTTTGATTTAGCCACTAAAGTATTCTATAGAAATAACAAAAAACTAACGGTGTTGACTCAAGTTGACATGTGAGACGAAAGTGTTCATGTATTGAGTAGACATGTGATGTTAATAATACAATAAAGTCGAAGACACTGAGTGCCCACTTATACAGAACGGGATGCATTTGAGTAGGAAAAACATATACTCGTTGACATATGCCATTTTTTTTTACAAATTTAACTAATTAATACATATGATCTGATAAAACCCACTGTGACGTCATTTGAACTTGATGCACAGTTCTGATTGATATTAGTTGATTTATCCTCTGAACTTACAAAGACATTTTCGACAGGGAAAATATAATTATAAAACAAAGAAAGAGATTGTCAACAAAGGTGAGTATCCGCTGTTCATTGTAGCGGAAAGACGAGCCGATGGAATTGAACACCCTATCCGTAATCTAATAGGTTAGACAGTTGAGATATGTCATTGAGTACTTGATTTTTTTTATATAAAACTGTCACGGAAATCGATTATCACAGTAAATATTTCCAGCTGTTCTCAAACTGAGATGTTTACCCTGGAACAATTAAGCCACCGTAGTAAGTAACAGTCGGTCGCGTGCACCGTAGAACGACTGTAAGAAGATGTAACACTAATCAACCAGCTCGGCGCTTTTCATTCACACATACACTTATATACAAAATATATGTGTGTATGCGTCGTTGGCGTCGCATTTTAAAGTAGTGGCAGCAGTAATAGTGTAATATGTAAATTCAAAACACAAATGCTTCATACATTGTACGTATGAAATAAAATAAAATAAAAAACGCAAATAATCCTCCCGGGACATTCGCAATTTATTTAGTGGAGAAGCAAACTGTGTACAACCATACTCGTGTGGAATAAAGGTGACTTCGTCAGTGATCTCTTGCTTTACAAACATAATCAAAGCGATGAAAAACAACATTCGCGAAAAATAAAACTATCGGATTATTGGAATTCGGTTTCCATTAATCATACGAGATTAACTTTAGATGGATCGCACGGAGAATAATGATGGATAGGCAGAATTGTAATAAATAACCTAGGCTGAATACAACCCGCAACAAAAGAAAAATGTGTTGGAATTACTGCAACTTAGTAGAGACTCTGTGAATCATTATACATGCATCAATTGGCTCATCTATTTCAGGGTGCATCTTCTTTTAATATTGCATTTCTGTTGATTTTCATATATTTATTAAATGTCTGTTTCAGTTTTATTAGTACTCCTCCGTAAACGCCATTGGTTTACATCTCTATGGGTTCCAATCGCAATCTCAGGATGTTGATCTCTGAAATACGACTTGATTACTTTGATGCGTGTCATATTGAGTAAAAACAAAAACAAACACGCACTGTTTTGGGTGGAGTAGCGTGGAGGTTTCATAATCCAATAAAGCTGTACATGATAGCAGCAGTTGAAACGGTGCTTGTTTTATTTAAATTGTGATGCTCATTACCATTGGTAATTTGGCGTTTCTAACGACAGAAAAAGCAATCAATATCATCTGCACCATAAAAGGTCAACGCTACAAATGTAAGAAAATATACTACGGCTTATGTCGGCTATTCTATAGAGATTAACGCTTCGGTAAGTTTTTAAATAAGCCAGCTACTTCCTTCAACTGCCTGTTCAGTTTTCAATAGACTTGTGACGTAGTTACTGTGTATCAAAACCTCGGAAAATGGAGAATTAACAAGAGTACTGAAGCATGAACACTTTTTCGAGAAGAAATACACAAGTCTATTGTGGATGTATTCACAAAAAGCAACTAACAGTTTCGCGATATGCAATCAAGAAAAAAGACGGATGTCACATTTAAAACTTTTGTTAGGGTGATTTCTTCATCGATTTTGCTGCTGTTATCTGACCTAAGATATAATGGTACATCTGCACGTGTTGTGGCAACACACCGCAAAGACGAAATGCTAATTCTAAGATGCGTTTTCCCAACAGAATTATTGATTAAGACCTGTGAAAAGCAATTAAGTTATAAGATCCATGTTGTTACATTTACCTCGCGGTTGTGACTTTGATAATATAAATTTGAAAAGGTGAATCGGACTGCAGCTGCACGTATCTGCGAATAATAATGTTACAGCATTCGACAAAGAAGCTATATGATGGATGGTTATAGATATGTAGATATCACACAATAATATTGATGTTGTTGTCAGCAAATTTAAATTTTCCGTATTGCAACAAAATATCAATTATATGTTTGCGGCCACGTGTCCAATGACGTCATTGCAACTGGGGCGTTTGTTCAACATTTGTTGTGATACCCATCAGAGGTTCACGATATCCGGGAGATGTCAAAGTTCACCTAGTCCTGCATGAAACTGCAAATACGACGTACAGGTAACATCAGAGGTGTAAACAACCATGAAAACCGAAGGTATATTTAGAAATAAAATACATGACACGCCTAGAATGACATGCGTTTTTTTAACCTCGACCCGTGAAACATTATTCCGGCCATATTGTGCCCGCAGATTCATATTTCAAAATGATCGATGAATATGAATATCATAAATAGCTCCAATATAATTCACATACAGATGTTTAATGCATGTTGACTCTGAATACGGTATTATGCTATTGTAGGTCTGAGAGCTCAAAAAAATACTGCGCGTTTGATTTTCACGAACTAGCAAAAAACTTCAGGACAGAGAATGATTTGTACTAAGGAAAGATGTCCAAGGGAGATTGTTAGGGAGAGATGAAAACACGCCACGGGGTATGAGTGTAGCAATACGCCCCGAATCGATAAACAACACATGCTGATACATAGATTAACACGGTTCTACTGTTGGTTGTCATTTCCCAATGCCATGGAAACAGTCAATTTAATATCTCTGTAATCGACGCAATTGTGCCGAGGTGGCAACATAGTGACTTGGGCCGTGAAATACGAGACGGTGACAGGTAACGGGATGCGGTAATATAATATTTCCCAATTAGTTGACATTGCACTGATAGCGATGGTAACTCGTTACGTGGTTTGGTAACTGAGAGACGCGGTAACATGGCAATTAGTAATGTAATACATGCTGTAACGAGCTTACAAGTGATGTTGTAAAAGGGAATTCGCAACGCGATTAACCATTAGAAATAACACCAGTTGCTAGGACGACCAAGTGCGCATTTTACACCATTCTGTAGTAGGCGATGTACTTGACACCGTATTTGTGAAATCGATTGCATTTATTGTTTTAACTGGAAGGCATGGCTGTCATCAATTCACTGATTTACAGCAAAATACATTCCCCACAAAAATGCATTGGGTAAAACGTATATCTCGCTTTTAACAAAGACTACTACCATTAGCCATGGACCATTAGGCACGTTTATCTGTTGAGTAGCAGCAAGATAAATACGGAATATCCACGTACTCAATATCATACAACATATGCTTGTTTCGTGAACGTGCTGAGCTGATATCATGACATGTTTTCGGGTTTTCAGATCTTTCCCAATTTGCGTTACACCAATAGATGACAACGATGCTCAACGTTTGGTCGACACATCATAGGACGTCTTATATATAATTAAATAGTCATTAATCTGATATATTATCGGAGAATATAACTGTGTTTTCATTACACTATTCCTATTACCGCTGATTTTCAATGTAATTTTTATTTTCATAGCAGCACACGAATGGAACCCGCGAACGTGCATGACAAGTGAGGAACAATGGAATCAACCAGTTAAAATGAAATAAAACGTTGAATGGGGATATTCCTAATATTACTTATATTGTTTGTCAAGCTACTGACACACAAATATACACGATACAGGATTCATCGGGATTTTCGGTGCATTTGATAATGCCAAAATAGTTCATTTCTACAACTTCACCAATTACCATTTTCAGTGGTACTAATATCAAGTACATTCAATCAAAACAGATTTGGTGACGTGGACAACATAATTAAACGACTCTATTGCTAGTGGGTCTTTTATTAAGGATTCGCCATGTTCAACACTAGCCAAGGCGGAGCCAGTAAGATCATATAATTTAAATTGGATATCCACAACGACCAGCGTGGCATACACATCAAAGTCCAGCTGGCAAGGTATGACGAAATGCACAGCGTGTGTATATATTAGATCAGGTACGGCATTTACGCTGCCACTATTTAGTTATATGTATTGACTCACGACCACGGTCATGCAAACAGTCTAATAGCTTAATATGCAACTGAAATAATTTAAAAATTCGATTTTCGCCAAATTTGTACAAGGTATGTCGCAGTACAAACCAGAAGGATGTATGTATATATGGAAGGCCTTATATTTGGGGTAAGACAATATTGAAAACACTTTGTAAGGCACCAGGACTGAAATATGACATGTAGATGTAGGGTCCATGTGCTATAATCTACGTACGCCAGGCATACAACATCATTCCTAATGTTTGTCCACACATATAACAACAAAGCAAATCGCTCAAATCCTTTTGCGACAGTAATTCTGAGTGCTATCTAGGTAAATACCATTAAGCAAATCGTACTATCGTTTTGCAACAAGTTACAATATCTCATCTAACGATCGTATAGTGTTGTTAAAAGCATGGGAGTATGCCTATTTTGTGAACAATATTGATATTGCAATCATTCGAGCGATGGTATTTAGAGAAACAAGAGTCTCGTTTCAGGAAAGAAAAGCAACTTGATATAATAGGGCAAAGCAGTGAAATTGACGTGCACATTTTAACATGTGTTTCGAAACATTACGGATCACTGGTTTTGATGTCAATAAAATAAAATGTCAATGTCACCAAAGTAAAATGTCAACGTCAAAATGACAATGGAAAAAGTAGATAATGGAAATGTTGAAAATTACACTTTTAGGGCATAATGCCATGAGACGATTTGCGTTGAGTTGGCTTTTCAAGCTTTCCTTCCTTTTTTCAGAACTGAACATAATTGGTACATATTTGTAAAGGTTAAAGTTTATGTTCACAAAATCGTTTCCATATGTTATCATTTTGCTTGTTTGGTTGTTCGTTACTACTTTTTAAAAGTGTAGGTTGACTACGGTCCATGTAAAAATAAAACCGAAAGTTCAATTTTTATTTTTGAATCAGGTTTATTGATAATTAACGTCAGAATATAGACATGTATAAACAAAACATGTTAGTTCATCTTTTTATTTAATTTAAGTATACATGAGTACAATCTTGTAGGTATCTAGTCTCGGCAGTCACCGCAAAATACGCTCGAAACTATTCCCAGAAACATGACCAGAATACATAACTGATCTTTTTAAAACGGTACTTAGTAAAATTTCATTTGCAGCTCTTGAAGACATAAATCACGTCACTTCCGTTGCAAGGAAACGTACAGCTGGTGCAACGCCGCGCTGATTTACACCTGTCTAACTATAACGGACATATATAACCGTAAGAAGGCAGCTCATGATGCATATTAAATACTAATATCCTCAAGAATATCCTAAAGTAATAATACAAAGTTTCCCTGAAACAGCGCATCGAGAATCGGTGTAACAATAATCAACAGGCACAGTAAGAGTCCTTCAGTGGGTATTCCCAATAATGTTTATGCATTAGATAAGAATATAGCATATTATGTATAAACTGTAATGGTATCTATGACCCTAAAGTGACTTTTTAAGTACGTACCAATTAATATATGAGATGTTCAATATATGATTGTGCGTGTGTGTAGCTTTATTTAAATCTTAGATACCATCTCAGCCTTTCAATGTAGGTGAATTTAAATAAAGAAAACGAGCAATTCAAATTACAATGAATTCAAACATAGTTCCGTTGTTATTAAATATATCTGACATATTTTCAACCAAATAACCGGTGGATATATATACAACCATTACTTTGCATCATCAATATTGAAATATCTTTTACGTTCATTGAAATGTTTATATAACCGGAATGTTCTATGATTAAATCTGCTACAGATTTAATCAAGAAATCAAGAATAATAGAAGACATAGCGAAGACAATTTATTATCTAGAATTATGATGTCAGTTTGTTTAAGTTGTACTCTTTACAGATTTGATATTACAATAAAACAGCTAAAGTAGCTTCAATAATAGCGTTTTGAACAAGGTTGCGTACTCCATAGACTCGTATATGGCATGTCAATCATGGATTTATTCGTATACTTATTGACTAACGTTTTTCATAAAGATGAAATGGAAAAAGGAAATTTGGATTTGCTCGACGATGATTACTCAAGAGTTGATTGACAAAAAGTGGATAATGGTATCCTTGAGCATGGGTTCAGACTGAATGTCTATTTTGAGGTTAATTGCTATAAACTGACACATTATTTTTTTCGCCTAACCCATGTGCCCTGAGGTCAAATACACTTCTGGACAATCACGCGACTCTTCTAAAATCTTCGATTTTCTCCCTAAATGTAATTTTAGTCGCCAGGAGACACAAATGAAACTAAATACAGGTGTGGACAGTCATTAGTGAATATATTGAATTTCAGTATAGTGATTTCAGCAGTCAGAACACACATATCGGCACTGACACCAATTATACGGCGGGGAAAATATGATATAATGTAAAATGTTTAGGAAAGCGTACTGTGCTAATTTTAATTACATACCATCCGTAGTCAGATTACATAGTTCGTAAGGTTGCATGGTTCACCAAATTGTAGGAATATTATCGCTTTCGTACTCCCATGCTTTCAGAATTCGGGTTATGTAACCTTTTAATGTCTGTAAGATATCGATCTTCGCTTTCATGTCACTAATACATTGCGTACACTGCATGATGCATTGTATCAACAATAATCGCACATAAGGTTGATAGATATACTCTATCAACATACGTGTTAATTTTAACAAAGTACACGCGACATCTAACGCCCAAGGTAACAGCGTCTCTTTAAACATTATACTGCGACGGTATTGCAATACAAATGTTCACTTTATTAGAAGTTAATCTTGCGTATAGCCACGAGGCACTTGGGTGATACAACTTTTATTATGGACATACTTGTTCAGTATTTAATCAATCAGCTTGATAATTGCCAGTGGGGTTGCCGCAATAGATATGCATGTATCCACAGTGATGCGCCGATGCAATCCTCTAAACATGGACATAATTGCTTTCATTCAGGGTTACCACGCTGTTATTGACAAATAGATTCGAAATTAAAATCTCCTACAGCCTATAAGGATATAAGTGGTTCAGCAATGATGAAAACACCGTAGTCTAGCATGGAAGTGGCCGATATCACTTCACGCTCAGTCTTCTTACATGTAACTGCCTGATTAGAAATACTGGAATTGATGACAAGCTGATCAAGGGGACTTGACTGATGGATGTTGGATATAGGTACCTATGCAAACGAAGTATAATCAAGCCTCATCTAGTAGGGAAATTTAAAAACACACCAATTTAAAGAATAGAGAAAGATACCTCTCCAACTGTTTCCTTCATTACTAACAAATTAATTTCCTTTACTTACAGCTTTCAATTTGAAGACCACATGTCTGCTTATCCATCGGAAAACGATGTAAATACAAGTGACAAATAAGAACCAGGCTGACTCTGTGAAAGCAATGAGACAAGAAAAATAAGAAATCAAGGCGTAGAAAAGCATATTTTTTATTATTATTTGACGACAATAAATAGGTAATTATATCACACGTAATATGCAATATTAAATTACCCAAATTATTAAATGAATTCTATTCTTTGCACATTGGTAATGAATAAATAACTGCGGCATTAATGTTTGATACATGTTAAAAAAAAGGCTCGAATCTTTAACGTGTTGCGCCGCTATATAACTGTTCATTTTATTGTGCCTGACCTTCCATTAAATATAATAATGATTTATCATCGAGGTATATATATATTCGCCGCACGAATAGACATAACCTTTTTGAAGCCTGTTACAAGGAATTCCAAGTTATTAAATCTCGCACAAAAACAAGCCGTTGAACATTATACAAACCACTACTAATGCATCAAATAAATCGACAATAAGTACGGTCTTTGAATGAGCATGACCAGACTGCTTGGAATTCTAAAGAAAATCACGTTTCGCACTTTGTAGCGTGCATGCTCTGAATGGAACGCTAATAGTGAATGCCATGTCATCGTGGAACAAACGCCATTGTTTCAATATAAATATGGTATATTACGGTCAGCGAACTATCATAACAGTGTTTGGGAATTCAATGAATGCCAAGTGCGTTTATATGTATATTTAGTAATAGTTGTCCTTTCAAATATAAACCAGCTTAGACGGAATTCATATTACCCATGCTGGAATGACAACATGGCAATGTTATCATATATTGCTCTGTGTAGGGGGCTACTGTGATTCGTTAATTTTTCATTTCAAACGCAACACGATAACACCTAGTGGTTATCAAAATTCCGAAGTTATTTACTGTGACTCTATGTGTGCGACGGTTTACAATATCACATGGCAATATAACTTGCTAAAACATTATAACAGTCTAAGTGGTAGACGCATATATTGATAGACACATTGTGTATATACAGAATATCTGTGTAACTGTTATTGAATCTTTCTAATTCGTGGCTGTTATATTTGAACATTGTTCCAAGGCATAAATATAATGTATCGGCTTCAGAATCAATACAATTGAAATAATAGGAAATAATAATGTTCTTCAAATGTACAAGTCTAAAATTGGCCCATAGTTTAAAAAACAGAAATCGGTTATTTCTAAACGTTGGGAATTCAAATTTGTGGGCGTAGAACACGTGCCAGTATAAACCGGTATTACATTTACTATAAAATGATAATAAGTCCCCGTCATATAGTTATCCCTTAATATGTCAATCTTTACATTTATCGACACCTTAGAAAATGCATGCGAAACACAGCGAGGATTGTCATACTCTACGTGCCATATGTTCTAGTGCTAAGCTTCCCTATTAAATGCCATCGTCAAAAGTGAATATGAAAGCAAATCCACCAGAACACAATGCGATAATTTTAGCCATGCGATTGTAAGTGTAATTCACGGTCGTATAAAATTTAAGTATACGAATTTTCTGAAACTGGTGTTTCCATATTAACCTGTAGATCAAGAAATGATATTACAAACGTACATATACATTATTTCATACTGAAATAGACCCATAATTATGTATTTACTTATTATGTCAAATAACTTAATTACAAGTGACAATAATTCGACATATGTAGATTTTGTTAGAATCAATCGTGCATTCAATTTTGGTTTCACGCTCGATACAAAAATTCACAAACTATAAATTGTAAGCCATCGTTGTGTCCAAATAAAAAAATCATATTTTTGTTTTTCGATTACGTGTGACCGAATTTACTATAATCGATTTTTATACTATGGACGTAGATATGTCTCGTAACGACGGATTTCGCTATTTGCAAGAGGCGTTAAACTGTGAAAAAAATAAGCCGTTAAGTTATTTTTGATCGCGTGGTAAAATTCATAATATTAAATGTTAATGTGTTATTCATGTAAACGGGATGTTATTGAAACATTCGGCTGCATGCTTGGCTGAGTAATTTATGTTGTTTTTGAAGAATAAATGAAACCCAGGTTCAAGAACTGATTCGATGCATGGCATTGTATTTCGAAGCCTCGCGAATTTATTTTCACAGTGTTCACACCTTAATAAGTTCAAATTGGGCTTAACAAATGTGTAACATATGACTATATAAATGGCTTTTTAACATTTCAGTCGAACGAATCTGCATCTACTGATGATTGTTTTCACAACATACAGTAGCTCTTTGTGCGCATGATCAAACTATTCTGTCAAAACAATACGCCACATATCTGTTAAGTTGCCTGAACTTGTCCGTAAAATAGTCGGAATCTCATGTTCAGACATAGCAATAGTATTTATTGTAGAGCTACAATTGTGTCTATGTATTTAATTTCCTGTGCATTGAATATTTTAGTAATCTATTTGTGGCAAGACGTTGTTGTCTCTATCAATGGCTCCAAAAAAAAAAAAAAAAACAGTTGCAGTAGATACACAATGCGTCTTATAGAAACAATCGACCAGTTTCTAAATATTTATCACCGTTAAAACAAACTTGCTAGGAACTCCATTATTAACATTTTGTTGCAATAAAATAATGCAAATTTACTGTTATATTCCAAACTGAATACAACGACAAATATGATTAATATCCAAAGAAAGTTGTCATCATCTCTTACTTTGTTCCCCGTGTCAAAACAAAGATTTAACTACTGTATTATTGAATGCCATTCCCGTTTTTTATTTGAGCTAATATTGAAAGGTTGTTCCATCCATTTCATGTAAATAAAATACTCAATCTTACTAGCATATTTCTGAAACTATGCATTTTCATATTGATTTCCGTTTTTCTGAATGGAATGTCAAAGGTTTTCCATAGGTTTCTACGCTGATTGAATAAGTTCACATGCAAACTGTGCAGCAAATATGACCGTTAGGAAACACTCTTCATGTCTACTTGTGCTACCACTCTAACATATTAACAGAGCTGTAAAAATCCATTTGTAGTAAACAGCCAGCAATTTAATCTTGACGTTCTTTCAAAATTCCAAATTTTAGGACTTAATAAATGTGTAATTATATCACACGTAATATGCAATATTAAGAAAATAAAACCGGGTGGTAAAAAAAAAATATTTTTTAACATAGATACACATTGTCAGTATAACATAAAAACATTTGTCAAATTTAAATACAGATCCATAGATAAAAGCTTTAAGGTATTTGTATTCGGGTTTCATTTTTAACTGTGTGTTTGAACAAATGTCTCTTGAAACCTGGGTCTCATTTTAAAACCATCTTATCGAGTGCTCAGCGTTCTTTGATTGACGCAGACCGCGTCACATTAATTGCGTCACTGATTATAAACCAACAATACTAAAAACGGTGCGCATACTAAACAGTTAATGTTGCATTAAATGAACACCATATAGTATATCTTGTGAGATTTTCAACCGTAATTGTATACGTGCCAGTATTTACAATTTGGTGCCGTGGGTTGTAACGGTGCTCTCTCGATAGAGTACATAAATGGGCGACATGATAGATAATAGTGAAAAATGTTAACAATCTGCAGTGTACATAATACGTATCACAGATTAACATACAGTAGTATGTATCATCGTTTGATTAGTATGTATTACCTAAAGGAAGCTGTGACATATGCACTTGATATAATAATTATTTAGATGGTAGGCTATCATGTACTATATTCTAGAAAATAAAACGATTAGGTAACGCTAATAACTCGATGCCATTCTACAAAATAATCAACCTTAAAACAAATGCAAGTGGTTTATATTTTTTCCCGTATCCAATTGCACATTTTAGTGTTATTTTCTATTAACGTAAATGTTATAGTGCCTTGAGTTATATAACGGAAATAACCTTTGACCTTTACATATTAAAGCATCCCTTAGTGAATCCGAAAATAGTTATTAGATGAAAGTGTAATTAGATCTGCGGATATCAGTTCGGCATCTAGTCTTTATTCTCAGTGATGAATGAAAAAAAAGTGCAACATTTGCAGTTTACATTCCATAACCCGAGTTGTTGTCAAAGAAACACGATATGTACTCCCGGGAATTTTGTTGCGTAATTCTCTCAGACTTTGAATACCGGAAATCAATGTGCATCTTAGCAGTAGAGTCAGATAACGAAATGTTACATATGAACTGTGTATGAATTAAAACGATCACTGGTTTTAATGTTTCCAGTGAACTAGATCTAACGATATGATCACTAGCCTAAAGTAAAATATCAATTGATACTACAATGCCCAATCTAGAATGGCAAACGCATTGTGTAGGTCTTTTCTGTTTTACATTGTATACAACAAACTGAACAAGAGCACGACTAACATTATTTTGCTAAAGGAGATAAACTGCAAATCAAATTCAATTCAATTCAATAGGCAAGGCAGCATAGTTTTTATTTATTATTTCGTCATTGTTAAGTCTTTATACGAAACATCGTTCACATAAAAAGAAATTAAATTTTACCCAGCATGATGTCAAACACTTGTCAAAATGCCACTCACGTCATGTTTAAATTTTCTTTTTGTATTACTCCCTGACATAAAAGTTAACTTGATACTAATATTCTACATTTATGACTATAACACCGTACAATTCATAACATTTGCATGTTAATCCCCACATAAATTGTCATGCCAATATTCATCAATAAGCCAGAATAAATGGGGCGACCTAGTCAAGGTAGACTACAACACGAATATTTCTTGCATTTAGGAAATGTTTGTAACACACTAATGGAATGATGACAACCATATTCCTGGTATTTATTATAAAGACTCGACATATCCGGGTCGATCATTTCTACAGATAGACTGTTGAATACATCAATTCTAGACTTATTCATTCTATCCGTTTATGTGGCAATCCATGTGGGAGTTGCCTATTTGGAAATCAAATGACTCATGCAGTCATACCTCATGTCATAGAGAATTCTTCCGTCTGGATTGATTCGTATATGCTTGTTATTCATGGTAACTTGATGCAGTTTCCCTTCTTTCACGTTCACAAAATACAAATCCGGAGTCCAAATGTGGTCCAGTAATTCTGAGCCCGATCTAAGATCAATGGGCTCTGTGCCATTGAATGCAAACCGCGGGTCGTCCCACTGAAGAGATAGGAATAGCGTAGCACCATAGTCCTGTGTACAAAAAACAACAACAAAATAAATGGCAACAAAAACCAATAACGGCGTGAGATATAGCGCCACGTATTCTTTCCATTTCTGGAATTAATATATGAGCTGTGACAGTAGCTGTCAAATATTTAGTTACATCAACTTGAACTCGACTCCATGGGCAGTAATAAGGTCCAAAAACACATATGGAAATTATTATATCGAGAGCACAAGAAGGATTGAACTTAAAGTCATATCATGTATATTTGATTAATATTTGAAAGGACATGCCAATCAAGGTTTTGAGTCAATTAATTAGATTTTGTTTCAGAGACAGAAATAAAGTCTTCTAATCTCTGACCTACAGCGGTTTAACGGCGCGATGAGAACGTAACGCAAGGCATCATATTTTAATTTCGTTTCGTAATCCGTTTCAACACTTTTGACCTCTGAGACTTTTAATTTACCGCGTTCAGCATATGCAAGCATGAAACCGACATTCATAGCAGAGTGCGTTTAACCATCTCCGTTCCATTATTATAAAATATCTGCACGCATGCTCTTCATACCTAATTTCCTTTGTAACTTTACTCGTCTAATTGGATTTTACTTTAAACCTAACGAGAAAGTCCACGCTGTTCACAGAGATCAACACTACTAACCAATGGTCAACGAGGCAAAACTTCGATATGCTTTGTACGCGCTTTGTTTTTTTTATTTTCAAACATACGGATTTGATGCCATATTCAGAATTTAATTTTTCAATAACGTGAATAAATATTTTCAGAATAACGATTTAGTTATCATGTCTAAACCAACAGAAAGTAGATTTAAAACATTATTTATCAGTAATTAAAACAAATGCGTTCAAAATAAAATCGTAGTTCTCTTTAATTATGTCTATGTTAGAATCAATGAGATATAATGTTTTAAAGTAGCCGCCAGACGACCATAGAAAGATCAAATCAGATAATCGAAAATCACGTGATACGTCTTAGTTTTATTGCGTTATCTCGAAACGTGCATTTGGAAACATATACTCACCATAGAAACCTCGGATAACGAGTGTATACTGGTGAAATAAACAAACACTGATATATTGACAGGTGGGCCTACGTGATAAAAAGTAAAAAGACTATTATCGTCTGAACGTAGATAACCAACTTATCGTGATATATATTATATCTAGAATCACTTTGGATTTCATAAAGCTTCATTTTAGGTTCAAATATTCCAAGTTGATCCATTCAAACAATAGTAGATAGTCTAACTAGAATGATTGGCAAACTCGTTTAAAACAAGAAACGAACAACGGTGGCTGAAGACATGCGTAAATTGGAAAACTTACCTTCAGCGTTTGGCCTCAGTTCTTTATCGTACTCCGGGTCTTTGATGACCGCGTACAGATTTTTCTTGTACCTGTAACGAACAGAGCTTTTGAAAAGTACGTATTATGTAGAGTCACGTGAGGCCAGTATTGTATGTCGAAAAATAAATTGAAGTTAAAAAGAAGCTAATTCGGTAATATCGCAACATAAATGAAAAAAGCAAAAACAGGGCATGCGTCCTTGTGTAGAGCTCACACAAATTTTACATTGTTCATTAGGCATTACCGCTTTAAACAATTGTATATTGCAATTGAAGTGTACACACCCGATATTCCAGTTTAGTGCTACAAGTTGTAATTATACCAAAGCACCGAATTAAAATTGAAAGCGCATACTTGAACTTAGCACGCAGGTGAGTGAGCGTATGACGGTGATTATTATATGGCATATGATCGTAGCTTAGTGAACATAGTTATGCTAATATCATGCATTAACGTGGGGACCAAGTGATAAAACATTATCAAAAATAAAGTCGAGTTAGATACAATGTCAATGTGAAAAAAACGTACATATATCGCCAGATTAACGATATTAACAAGTAATTCAAATCATTCTTTGCTGCCAGCATTTGTCTTTGATCTACTCGATTCAATATATTTCAGTCGGCAATGCATTGTGCTCTACAGGTCATTATTTGTTTTGTATAAATACAATTCATGAATCCAAATTAACATCGAGAGAGTGTGGATAATTGTAAAAGGTGTTTGTTCCCCGCCGACACGCCAACGTGCGATGTATATATATATATCACTGGCGTTGGCATAGTAAAGTTAATTTCACAAACGACACTTCAATGGCAATCCAGCATATTATTCATCACTTGCCTGTTATGCGTGATATACGGATTGGGGGTGGTTTTAGATTATATTGAATTATGTGTTTACTTTAGTCATAAATATGAGGTCGGGGTTAGGATATCTGAGTGAGTTGAATTGATTATAAAAATTGCATGGTTATTAATGATGGCCACATTCTATGTAAACAATAGCCATAATCCACTGCATGGATATGTATATAATATAATATACCTACACCATCGATGAATTGACGATACATATACAATTATTATTTTGTCCACCTCTAGTGATGTCGGGATTAATAAATAAAACAAATGTAAATGCACCATCAAATAATGGACACGAAATGACAATAAGCACGGCCTGTTACACCTCTCCAATAAAATAAACTTGTTTTAGCGACAATGGCGAATTTGTTATCTAGGAGCCAGAGTGTATCTGACATACTTTGGTTATTTCAAATCAGTATCATGTCATTCAGGATCTAATTTTGATCTAAATCCCACAAAAAGCGCGCAGGAAATCGGGTAGAGAGGCGAGGATTTGCTCCGCCGCCATGTCAATTTCGACCTGTATTCTGATTGTTACGTGTCAGTAACAGCAGGCAATGAACAGATATATGTCGACATGATATAACATTGATTCTATGTTTTAGTGGAAGTAGTTGTGTTATCAGAACAACGCCCAGGGTTGGAGATCGTCAATCCTGTAAGCATAGATTGCGTTTTCGGATATACGGACATAATGGCTCCTCGGGCGTCTCAATCAAATGAGACCATAGTAAACAGCCAGTGTGACCAGCAGGTAACCCGATCGTATGAAAGGCCGCAAACGTCATAATCGTGTAGTCGTATTTAAACACAATTTACCCGAACAGTTCGACTAACAGCTGTAATAACCTATCAGCGGGAGGCCTCTGTAACGTCCCTTTTGCTTTTAAAAAAAATGACTGAGAGTGAATGTGTTATAAACACAATTATTGAACTGGTTTGCAATGGGTGTGATGTAGCGGTACGTTTAGTCACACAACGAAGTGAAGTTTATAGAGTGCCATTTCCCTGGCTAATATAATACAGGTGCAATTAATTGGCACTCTATAAGTGATCCCAAATAGTAACGTAAATTCACGGAGGTACTATAAACGCGTAGAGCTAGATTGAAACACTTTGCATATATTACGTTGACCCTTTTTAAATTCAATGCGGCTCGCACGAGCATTTCGAATAAAATAACGCGTGAGTTTTCGTATTATTAGAAGTACATATAGCTAATGAGAAAAACTCACACAACCCACGATCGTTGTTCGACAATGCTAGAGGCTACAGTTCGTCATTAAATGACGGTGCATATGTTTGAGCACGGCGCGAGTATCCACCGTGAGGATTGCATTAGTAGCTAGCGCAAAAAACAGAAATTTTGTTTTAGTATTTGTCCATCAGCCATAGTAAGCATCACCACAGGTAACCACCATGGTGGAAAGTTTTCATCAATTTCGCATTATTTCTGATGAAACTGCTAGTTCCAGGTCAGCCGGAAAGATGCAATCGAAAATCTATAACTACGTTGATTCTTTTCTACAAATAAACTCAAGAAGCTCGCAGTGTGTTTATGTTATATACAGCTTATTATAGTTGACATCAGCCCTTATCAAGCCGATGGGGTTTTAAGAAGATCAAGCAAATATTTCGATTATATTTTACTGAGCTATGTCGTCATATGAAATTATAGACAGCAAAATGCAGTGCCGTCTGTTGAATATTGATTTGGTATTTATTCGATGAAACCATAGAACTAAACAAGTTGTTGTCCGTGAAATTGAAATTGAAATTACATGATTATTTCAATAATTTAAAATTTGTGTATGCATTAAAACATGCATCGTGGATATGAAGACATGGTAACCATAGTTAAGAGCCAGTCTAGATATGAATAACATAGAGATAGATGATAAGCTATTGGCAACACCTTTCATAGCAAGCATGTGATACAAGTAACAATGTGTCAGCCACAGCTTGTATAAAAATAGAAACAACTATGGCTGTTCTCATTTTTAGCGGTGGATAGCGTGAATTGTTTACTCCAGGTCCGGATGCCATTAAAGTGCGGCATTTCTACAATATATACTGCACTAACGCGACGTATATATAACGGATGACATGCGTGTAGCACAAGCCATTGAAATGTGATGCCTGTTTATATCGTGTTCCTACTCCGCGTGGCCATATCGGCAGTGGTTGTACGTGTTCACTGCAACCAACTTGATGTAACCTACCTGATGTTGCCCGTCGCTGACGTTCCCAATATATAAAAAGCAATAATGACACCGTGTAAAATGATATTCTGTGGCGACATCTTTCTTCGCGTGTAGCGTCACTGATAAGGGATGGCAAAAGTACGGAAAGTATGTCCCTCACGCGGTGTAGTGGGAGCTGCAATGTAGGAGAGTACGTTTAGAAACATTTCTGACGTCGTACACAGCTGGACCAATCAAGGAGTATGGGGAGTACATTGGCGGGTAAGAGCGTACATCGTTCCGCTATGTAATGTGTCACCCGGCAGAAATCACCTTACCTGCTCCCTCTTCCACATACACTAAGCCATTGCGTGAACAATAAATTACGCCAGGTTTATTGGACGACTGATTTCACCATTACCTCTGTCGTCGATTCATGCATCTAATTCCTTGTAAAGTTCTTTGATTAAACCAACTCTATTTCTACGCCACACAAAGCATTTTAATACTTTATTCATTACCCAACGAATTAGCTTCCCCAGTCTCATCGCAGCTGTTACTGAGAGATTTATCTGGCCAAATTAATCTTTGCCATACTAAGACGGAATAATATCTAATCGTATATGTCATATTTTCTGAATACAGAGCATTGATTGGTCACGAAAAACACATTGGCGATAAAGGATTTTTAAGTACTAAATGATGGCAAAACTACCTACGTGGATGGGCGCTTCTTCTCTTAAAGAATGTCTCTTCTTCCCAATCTCTAGTCGGTCACGTGACAGTTTCTTTAAACACCTGACCCCTTTGTGTCGTTATCGTATATACGAAGACGTCGTCACCTAACACGCTATCGGGCGATTATCGTCGTTAGTGGGTTTTTTAAAGCGAGCAATCAACAGGAACTTTGTTAGTCTAATATACGGCGACATTGTTACCGATAATTAGCAAGTGATTTTGTCCGTACTCGTACATCTAAATTCAATAGTAGCTGGAAAGCGTGCACGAGGTGTCAGTGAAAACTGTCCATTAAATTAATAGATACTATAAATACGTTTTCCTACTCTGTTATAAGTAAGTGTAATTATTGTAAATGATCTTGAAACGTCGGAATTAATCTAGCACGTCGAGGAGTCGACAAACCCGACAACAATGGAACACAAATAATATGTGATTGACGTTGATATTTACGTGACGTCTCTGTTTAGTAGGAAAAGTTGCATCTTGATGCACTCATGATTGCCAGTGTATTGTTGAATTGAAATCCTATGCTGATGATGAACGTTCTGATCTTCTCTCTTTTATGCCTAAATTAAGCAGCTTCTCTGGATGTTACCGTGACAACGTGGCTAGTGAAGTGTTTCCAACGGAAAGGTATGGCCTCAAATCAAGACGTCGGTCGATGAGAACAGGTATAGTGCGATAGCAATCAATAGCGTCAACACGCCGTGATCAACCGACGTGATAAAACACATTCCGTGTAAGGACAGTGTATAGAAACCCAGTGGTTAATCGGCTTTGTGTATCACGCATTCACGTCTACGGATACAGGGTAAAATTCCTCAGTCGCAGTCGGTAGTCTGGATCTCTATATCCATCGTGGAAGACTACAAGAGCACAGTGAGCAAGTAATAACGCTGACGTTGATCGTTATTTAAGTAAAAATGTATTTCCAAAATGCAGTGTGTTCCGCTTAATTAACCTCCTCTTGGTATAGCGCTGCGATTGGATGATATTATAATAGTTCAGCTGGCTATCACGTGCCAGTGTGTTGCCAGCCAACATGTAAACATACCGCGTGTGCATACATTTAAACCATAGATTAATATTCGGATGAATTATTCAAATACTACGTTACCAATGTAAAACAAAAAGACGAATCATATAATCGTTGATAATATTAACCGTAATAATTATGTAAATAATAAGGCCAATATACAAAATTGAAGGCTGCAAAGGTGACAGGAAAAATAGTACGTGAATATCTGTCAATTCGTCGAGAGATTAGTTTATATCCTTTATTTCGTAACGATGGCGGCTCGTCGTAGAAAGAATCCTCCATGTAAATCCGTGTCTCATGATTGCGGTGTTGCAGTCCTGATTTACTGGTTAATTCTAAGAGTTCGTGTTCATGGGGAGGCGTCCTTCTGTCCACGTTAAGGCTCTGTAGGGATGAAGCATAAGAGAAGGTTTGAGAAGGTGGAAGACCCAATTATTTTAACTGCTTTTCTACACACTAATCATGTCATAGGGTTGAATGAAATGAACGTCAGTTACTTGGAGGGAGACTGTGATGTATGTGCGATACGCAGAAAGGGGCGTGTGTGCTTGAAGACAAGTAAAATAATTGCATAGCTCCCGGGGAATTGTTATTAACCATGCGTATATTTTTCCGTCGGACATTTTGTGCTGTGTGTGTTGGTCGATTTGTTTTGCTATTTTGTTTTCACCATTTGCAATAAAGTGCTATTCAATGCATGTCTGACTGAATTCGAGAATTAACGCCCGTAGTCATTGATTTATAGTGAATATGTTTTACAGAGCTGCTTTTAGCTATTTTACACAAGTCTTCACAGCGGGAATCCAATATACAGAAAATAACATGATCTTTGTGTCTAACAGGTACTTGATATTGAAAAAAAAGTTTAGCATAAGGAATTTATAATAGGTACAGTGTAGAAACGAGCAAGGGCGCTCTGCATATGCATTTAGCCAAAACATCGTCTCCCTGACCTGTCGTCTCCTGGCCTTGTGAGCATCACAGGTATCCGTGGCTTTATGAAGATAGCTGGCTACGGCAAACTCCAGTAGAGCCGCGAATACAAACAACGAGCACACTAGCATCCATATATCTATTGCCTAGCATAGAAATGAAACAAGCAATATTAATAATTAAACCTAAGAACAAATTATACGTCTGGAAAAATAATTTGCTCACGTTCACACCCGACCGCGTGCCTGCAATGAATTTGAAATTTGAAATGCCACCGTGAGAATATCGGCAACTAGGCACGTGCGAGTATAATTGCTTCACAATCATTTTTCAGTTCCCCGGCAACATCATCTTCACTTAACCGCCAAGTTCGATGTACTTAGAAATCTACGCAACATACTCGCACACAAAACGAATTACCTTAACGTTTTTAATGTCATTTTAAAAAAGAATGAATGAATGAATAAATAAACCGATTCTGTAGTACAAATCGATCTATGCCAGAATACAAATTTAAATTGTTATTTTTTCAAAAAGGAACTTTGACCTCTGTATCATTCAAGCGCCAATATGTAAAAAAAAGTATTTTAGAAATATCAAACTCATGTGGCGGGCAGAATTTAATTAAGAAGATGAATCACTTCGTCGCACTGGTCATTAATAACATTCAGACAAATGCCGTGTAGTGTGCTTTGCATTTAATTTAACTATTTGCGCTATTCGTTACTGCAGTGCATAACAGAACGTATTAATTGCATTACGAGGTCCTGTCTGGTTGGGTTATGGACTGTACGTATGCAATACGGAAGCAAACCGCCAGTCAAATCCCATAGCTCACGTACTTATATACAAATAACGTGAATACGAGGAAATTGAAAAAATCTTATTCTCAGCGGCTAATTGGGTCGTGTCTCGTATGTTTAATCGCATTCAACCAGGGAGCTTTATCAGAGTTTTGGGAAGAAAAAAGTAAACAATACGATTCCGTATGGTCTAATCAGGCTAAACTTTGATAAATCTTAACGACGAGAACGAACATCATGAAAATCCAATTTACTCGAAAGTAATTTAATAGTGTATTTTTTAACAATTGGAGATGAAATAAGGAGTTGCTTTCATTGATGAGTGTGCATTCTTGAAATAAAGACAACACAAAGCTTATCACCAAATCGTATTACTACATTGATGGTTGAACGTGCCCAATACAGTATTAATAACGCGGTAATCTTAGCCTTGAATAATTCAGAAGTGATTTAAATGCATCAAAAGTGATGAAAAAAAATGAGGAGGCTGCCCTCCACGCAACTATAATTCAATCCTTCTTCTGACAAATGCACGGGTCGGTTTCTGTGTGATGGCAAAATTGCGAGTTGATTAGGCGAGCTTTGTGGATTTGGTCAAATGACAGTTGACGAAATGTTAGTAAATCCAAGAGTTTTTTTTTCGCAGCAGCTTTTTGGATAAGAAAATCCACTACGTAATTCAGTGTATGTCATGGCTCTTAATTTTGCTATCCACTTCAGATCATCTATAAAATGAGTTTTGGCAAGCCTCTAAGGCTGTATTATTCTCAACTGGCGGGCGAAAGATAAATAACTTATATTTTATTTTCCATTTGAAATATCATCGTAAGTATTTGGGACAATTCCCAACAGAATTTCTTATTATTCAATTAAGCCGAGAAGCTGGTGAATCAGAATAACACGCGGAACATATGGACACATAGCCATAATAAATGCCTGAACGACTACGGGGTGAACAACACATTATAGTAGATATTTAAAAAAAGAAGAAGAAGTGACCGGGTGGACTTACTGATTTGGCAATCATCTGCAAAGAGCCACCTTATGTTACAAATAACATGAATATAAAAATATATTCATAATAATTTGCTTTTTATTCATCAGTTCAGAAATATTGAATTATAAATTTAACTCGCATAGCAGCCAGAAATAATGGCCACAAACATGTCAGATAAATTAACCTGTCAAATAGGTAAATTTGTACTCGTCAAAATAACGACTGAATACACTTATAATTGGGTTGGTATGGTTTCTGACGGGAACCGTAACAACTTTAAGATCGCCAATTAATAATACATACTAAATTCATTTTCGCTCTAAAATGGCGTATAATGATTGGCATATGATAATAGGTGTACTATAATGTCCATATTACTGGTGTTCCAATAACCGACTTATTTGTTGTAATTTTAACCTAAAATTAATTATATATTTTAACACATGCTGAATATTTGTTGCTATCAAACTATACTAGTATTATCATTGCAACTATAAAAACAGCTGTTATAACTGTTGTAACTAGCGCTGTCTAAGGTAAACACATCGATGTTATTTCTATGTACATTGTTTGTCTTGAATGTTTAAATAAAATATATTGAACGGATATTTAGAGTTGTAACTTTCATTTCACACGCCAGTATGTCAACGTATTTCATGCAAAGTCGATGCCACAAGGACTGATTTCTCAACTTTTTGTACTGTTGTATCGAATTATTTTAAGAATTCAATGCCTGCCGCCAAGTAGAGAACGTTTCTGTTTGTACGCGTGACGTACATTTTTTTTTTATGAAATAAAGAAATTAGCACCTCTTCCGGTTAACGTCACTGTGAAAAAGCGCCCACAGAATATCGAGAGAAAAAACAACACATTAATTCATTGTAGCATCAGAATGCGATGCATTGATTTCCATCTTTAACACTTCTAAAATGACGTACTGCAAAAATCCGGTCTCAACAATAACCATTGCATTTCAATAGGAATCACAAATATCTCAGCATTTGTGGGGGGGGGGGGTCGCATCGATATGCAAAATGAATGCAATATTCCACACAAATGAAACTCATATTAATCCAAGTGGTTGAGATGTAGAGTGGTTGTTATTGATCGCAGCGCAAATAGATTATTTTCTATATGTATAACCGCGATAGACACCCAGAGATGAAGAGATTGCAATTTACAAACGCGTGTGTGCTATACTGTTATCCCAAGAGGGCGCCATGCACAGCAAGTATAACTGAAAAGCTTTCAACATCATTAATGATATATTATCATTCTCTAAATCTACCTCTACAGAAAACCACAAAATATTGAACATTGTATACGTTACTCTACCTTGGTATAAGAGACTTTTGCCAGTGAAGTTCTTGCTGTGGAACTCAACGTAGTTAAGGTTAAAACTGTAGTGATACCCAAACTTGCCCTAGCTGGTGTTGCGTCAACACTCAACCAGAACGAAACCCATGAGAGTATAACCAATAAAAATGAAGGCACATAATGCTCCATAACGTAGAAAATGAGTTCTCGGTGAAGTGAAAACTGACATTGAAGCTGGGCGTAATATCCTGTTGAATTTTATAAAGAAAATACATGACATAAACAAGAATACTATAGGACATGTGACATATGTACGTGTAGAACGCGTGTTCGCCTAATTCATTTCGTGATATTAGTAGGAAAAACCTCAGGCCGAACGAAACAGCACCATCTCGGCGCACTCATTTTAGCTGGCGCGAATTACTATCATACATATATTCGAAGGAAGGGACATATGCCATCAGTACTACACCTTATGTCGTGAAATCATGTCGACACGTGCGTACTGTGTAATTGAAATGTAAAAATAGAACGCTGTCGCATATGCCCCAAAGATAACTTTATTTACACGCCAACAGAGGGGAGAGGTTCCGTGAGCATCAAAATGGCTACTCCGCAAATTAAAAAAAAATGTTGAAATGTCATGACTTTAAACAACATTTGCTATAGAGTACAGTAACCTCACGCGATGATGTTAAAGTAGAGCAGAATGATATTGAATATATATATTTCTATGATGAGTGCGATTACAGTAACAGCGGTTTTAACAATACAATGTATCGACTTACTCTTCTTTCAAATCTGACATCGTTATATTTTGACACATCAATAGCGATAAAAGCGGACTTGCTTTTATTAATTTAATTTATGATAGTGACAAGCTTTATATAGAATTCTAATATTCGGCCATTATAAGAAGTTCGAATATTGTTATAATATTTCGTTATCACACGCGTAATTTGTGGTTGCAAGTGTGCACCACCACTCTGCCCCCCCCCCCGTCGTGTTGCCGTATTAACACACGTTTCTTTTCTTACCTAAGGGGTACCGTCTCATTCCTTTACTTGTGACAGGGAGTCCTACTGTAAATTCGGGCATCACCACTTCGGGGGCGATGATCGCTGAGAAATTGGCATCCCAATCAAGTTGTATGTCCCTTGTTGTATAACCAACTGTCAAAATAAAGAATTAGCAATAAATTATTTCTCGTGAATCCGTTTCTTATCAGTATAGTCTACTCACATTTGATTACAAAAACGCCCTCTAGAGAGAAAGACGTCAATACATTCAATATACTTGAAGTGGCGAGGACGCAAAAAAGCGTGCGCGATGTTATCGAAAGTAAGATTATGTAGCTATATATAACCGCATTGACTTAAATTTGTCTTATTAAATCGTCCTGATAAAATCAGATGCGGTATTATACTTGTGATGTGATACTAATACTGGATAAATTGGAAATTGATTCTACTACTCCACACCGATATGGACGTTGAATTTAATCATGTCAGGGTGATGGAGAGCGTCTCACGGAGAACGCTTTGCCCTAGTATCGAAAAATTATCCGTGTTTCAAGTTTTAAAAAGTAGACAGAACTCCACACTGACGTCAATCTATGTTCAGGTGTAGACGAACGCGCTCGCTCAAAACAGTATTTAATTAGGTATTATTTTACTAATAACGGGAAAGCAATTTAAATCGAAATACCGAATACGTATCGTTTGCCAATTGGCGTAGTATCATTATCCAAATATCACAAAGAAACCGATGTACATTTCAGAGTATCTTGAAATTCTTTGAAACTGTTTACTGAAATCACGTGACTTATACCATCAATGTACATCGCTACTGAAGTGCATCGTATCAATTGAAACCATTTTAAAGGGCGGCAGTCGTCTTGCCGCGTCCTGTTCGACATGGGACTCATAGCGACGTATACAACGCGTGTAAAATACATTTTTTATTTACATAAAATTCGAACACGCGCTGTGCGACGACCACAGCCCTTTGAGTCATGTAAGTTAACACAAGAAGAGATTAATTAATGGTACGACTCCATACTGGATGCATATACACTTTGTGAATTGTAACCATACGTGGCTGAACCACCCGGTGCAGTTGCATACACACTGAACAATGATCGAATAATAAACAGTTCACTACGTGCATCATACTTTTACTGTAAATAATCGCGTGATGAGAACAGATGGATAACACTGAGTTAATATGAGTATTATATTTAATTCATATAGTAGTACACTAAAACCACGCACCAGTTGACTGCAGATTTCTGAAGAGCGCTGATCGTATTATATTACCACTCTTGGTGGGTCTAGCTTGGTCTCTCAAGTAAGACTGTTCTGAACACGAGGTACTGGAATCGTTATCAACATTACATATTTTCAAGTACATATTTCTTTGGTGAAAATCGTACACATTGGTGGTGGACACGTGACCTATTATGCGAGTACTCTCACGAAACGCCTCACCCATACAGGCGTGTTACTAGTGTAATATCGCCCTCTTTTTCTTTTACATGGAAAAAGATTCCCGAGTATATTGCAAACTTCTACGGTATATATTCCGTGTAATACGTTTCTTAATATATGTGTCTGTAGCAGAATAATTGACAGAACACCAATGGTCTTTATTCCAATTAAGTAAATAGAGCAAATACAAATACTTTGCAATTGAGAGAATACTTTTCAAGTCCGGGTGATGAGTAAATTACTTTGCTAGTAATTACTAATCGCTCTATGTTATAGTATATTCTACACTATTTCCTTTGTTACATTTCGTGACATTGTTTGGCAAAATCGGATACCATAGTGAAATGTACTAGTACTCAGTAAAGTCCTAAATGCACACTTTCCATTTCCGGCATTATTGAATGTATGTTCAATTGACTACAGTACGCAACGGATTAATTTAAACCTTTCACGCCATGAGCGACTAATCTCATCAGTTTTGCACATGTATACAAGTAGTGTTTGTCAATGTGTCCCCGACGTCCTATTAGCTTAACCTCCTAATGACGCATTAGCTACACAAGTGTTAGACAATTTAAACTAATTTCGTCCTTTGGGTGAGTCAATGAACACGCCTTACAACAGATTTTATTTTCAATCCTTGTTGTGCAATGTTCATTTTCAATATTCGATGACTAAAACGGGGTCAATGCTCGGGTTATTGCTCTGAACATGCTCTTAAATAACTTACAACCCGCTGCATCGTTGAGGGCAGTCAAATATAATTATATCCAAACTTTTCAAATTTCGAAACGTAATTACTTACAACTTTCCAGCTCAATCCCACACGTTTGCTTATCCATTGGAAATCGCTGTAGGTATAGATGACAAATAAGTACAAGGCTCACTCTAGGAAGTAAAAGAAATGCATGTTGGCATATGTACATTCTAACAGCTGAGAAGAAATAATTGTAGATTAAATAAATACCAGGCAAGCCGTCGAAAATCAATTTATGACAAGTATGCAGTCATTATGAGAAGTCTAACTTACAGAACGAATTTCATATCTTCAATGCATAGTCATATTAGTCGCTCCAACATGAAAAATAATAGACGGTTTAACGAATGTGTTGGCAGTTTATGGAAATTCAAATTAATTTGGTTGACTGTACCTCATATCGTAGAGCACATGGCCATCTGGATGAATGCGTACGTGTTTATTGGTCACAGTAACCTCATGTATTTTGGCCTCTTTTACGTTTGTGAAATACAAATCGGGTGTCCATATTTTATCCAGTAAATTCGACCCAGAGCGTAGATCAATTGGTTCAATTCCAATGAAACTTAGTCTTGGATCATCCCATCGAAGGGATAGGAAGAGTGTTGCTCCATAGTCCTACAACAAGAATATTGTATCAAACTTATAGAGTTAATAACAAATTTAAAATAAGGCTACAAACAAGATCATACGATTAAACTGACTTTACTGCTTGTCAGAAATCCGATCTTGGTATGTTGTACTTATTATCCAGGTAATAGACTTGCGGCAATAGTTTACTTGGCGCGACAATGGTGCGCCTTCAACAATTGTTATTCTTAATATTGTTAACTGTGTATTAATTGCTCAGTACACTGGCTAGTTTGAGCAGTTCTACCATATCCCCAACTTGACCCAATTTGGCAGTTACATGCCGCGTTGTCACAGACTCCAATCATACCACGCTTTGCTAATCGAATTGTATGTCTGATATTTGAATAGCTGTCAAAATAGCTTTACCATATTTGTATATCATACTATGATGAACCCATCACGTGATATATTAGATCATTCTATAATAATATATAGTTATCAAAAAACGTGGTCACCCATATCACATAGCAGCGAATATTTGTATATTGCTCGAGCCACGTATGCATTATTTAGCATGGATGTAAAGTGTGTTAGGCTTAATGTTGACAACAATCGCCACTACTCTTAACAAAACATAACATCAAACTTTTCTGTTTGAAAAACAGACGATAATGTAACATATGAACAGCACTTATAGTACGTTAAACCTTCAAGACTTGCGCAGATTGTTGCGTAGTTGACTGTGGGTATTAAATTAAGCGTCAGTGAACTGAACATTCGAAAATGTCTGATTGATTCTTTACACTCCTTTTAGGTCAAGTCATTCTATTTTCCGGCACGACAGACATAGCATTTTAGAATGATTAAGTTTCTTTGAGTATTTTTCTTTTGTTTGTGAACCACTTTACAGCACGCACCCATGTACGTAAGTGTTTATTTTATTGTACTACGACAAATGTCGAGCTTCATTGTTAGCACACATCTTTGTGTCAGAAACACATGATTACGCGAACTTTAGAAATTGTGTGTGTCGTTTGTGAGTGTGTACAATTATGTACGGGTAAATTTGACAGCCTTCTGGAAATGAATTACCTACATTATTGAATAATTAAATGGGTTGAGTCATAAAATTAAAAATTGGTGTTGTGATTCCATGAAAGCATTTGATCCAAGGTATGAATTTGTTATTACAGACAATACTCATTTAACTGTGGATCACCGTCAACAACTTAAAGCGAACTATCTTGAGAATAATGACCATATGTAATACACAGGAAAAAGTATACCACATATAAACTTGTATACATGCGCCCTCTTCAGTCAGACAGGGAAATTACTTCTGTAATTTGTTAAACATATGAGTAACTATTTATCATAGAGTAAAGAAGCATGGCGCTACTAACAAAAGAAAATGAGATGTTTACCTCATTAATATATTACATGAAGTTAGTTCAAATTAAAACCAAGCTTGTTTTTAGATTTAAATATTGGCTTTCTGTTTTTTTATAGTTCTACTTTTGACAGTCATTTTAAATTGTAAAATATTTCAAATACAAATCAATTATATATTTACTAGTATTTCATTTTCTCGTCCAAATTAGCTGTTTTCCCCCTAAAACGAAGGTATTTCACATTTTGGAAAACGCAAAGCTGTTATCATAGTATTATAGGAAGAATCCAACCTACCGACCCAACGTACCTACCAATCCTAACCTACTTATAAAAACTAAAAACAATTACACGAGTATTGATTCTTTGGTGTTTGGTTTCAAGTACAGTTATTAGATCAGTCTATTAGCATCCTATATTGACTCAATTCCTCAGCACTACTTGAAGTTTAAATTACCGGACAACTGACGTGACATGGGTTTATATAACACTTAGACTGTCAAGGAGATTCACTCAGCATGTTTGGTCACATTGTGTATTGCGCTCAAATGGGCAATGTCACTAAAGCTCTTAGATACATTTATTTTCCCATCCATCCAATATACCCGCACATAGGTCGACATGTTAAGTTGAATCTATTTTAACTCCCGGTGACATTGCTATTAATCCTGTCTTCAACAATAACTTTCATTTGACCATCCGTACTGCGAACATCAGCCAATCACATCTATCAAACGACAGGCTGTCATCAAATATTTGACTGAAACACATAACCATGATTGTCACATGGAACGTATTGTTCCTACCGTGTTTTGCTTCAGACAAGGACACTTTTACAGTAAGTACAAACTACGGGGAGTTTGGAAAGAATTTTTAAACGTACAACATCTCATTGAAAGGTCTATTGATTTGAAAAAAAATGTATATACTAGGTAGGAGAGAAAATGAATAATAAACGAAATTACGACACGTTGAAATTCTAAATATTATCAAAAATAAACACACTGTATTTTCACGTAGATGGCGACGGAGATTGCTAATATACATTAAAACGAATCACTCAAATGAATATTATATTAAATAAACACTGGCGATTTGTAGCCACAACTTGCGCGCATTGTACAACGGCTTATTCTGTTCATGTAACTGTCATCGCACATATACTTGTTATTGAATATTGAAAGGCATGTCGGCTTTAAGGTGAAGGGTGTTGCCTTGAAACGGCGTCGATACCACTCACATAATGGCGTCAATAGGACGCTGATCTCTGTAGTCTAGCCATAGTTGAAATTGTGTTGTCACTGTTAACTTCCGTTTCTGACGCACACGCTGGTAAGTTTGATTGACATCCCCGACAGCTGCACTCACTGACAATACCACAAATCGCCTAGTGACATTCAAAGAAGTGAGCGGATATAACAAAAATACTATAGTATAGTTTAGAGTTGTAACAACACTGACGGAAGTTAGAATAATCCGGAAGGATAAGTCATCGTACGCTGTCAAGTGTATGGGTAATACACAGTCGTATGTTACCGAGTTGTCGCTAATTAACAAAAATATAATCAACAAATTAATAAAACGCGGTATTAAAATAAATGAAACGTGTACACAGTATTTTCGAATCGCTGTCTTGTAGCTGATATCAGCTCATTAATATTGTACATGCAAAATGTCGTTCACTTCAATATTATCAATGTTATTAAAGTTAATTAAAGTTATTCAAAATATAAAGAAATGTTCTCCAAATTTGAGTTAGCAATTATATACTGATACCAATAATCGGCCTTATGCCCGGCGTCGCCAATTGACAAATGACAAATTAATTAACCTCGTTACCGCAACAGAAGACAGACATTTAATCTTATATAATGACAATCGCATATAAACGCACACAGTCGCTGGTCATAGGTGTCCTTTTTATATCCGATTGGTTACGTTAATGTCACAGGAAGACATTGCATAGTGTAAAGAAAGTGTCTAAGAGACATTTGTTATGCCTATTCACAGAAAGTAACAATATGACATTGTTTATAGTAGTACATATATTATTTAGCCTATCATAAAATGTCTTTGTAACAAATGCAATGGTTTCCATACATACCATTCTATACCCGTTTGTTCGACGTTGGGACTGCTAATGTTTTGGACAAGATCTCATCCATATTTGAGACGCCCAACTATATATCTTATCATCTTGTACTTGATGATGACAATACCTTTTTTTTACTCTTCAGTGTATTTGGCTATGATGTAGCGAACATGTATTGGGAGATATTTGAACACTGCGTGCAAAATTAGAACAAACATAATTTTAGTTAACAAATTTGATTTAGTAAGTCATTGTTAAATTAATTCCAGCAGTAGAATGACATTTTTCGCCTCTCGGATTTAAACAACAAGAAAGTAAAAAAAAAAGTTCACATCATTGACGTTATTAAATAAATAGTGTGAAATTTATTAATTTTGAGAATAGTTGTCTACGACAAGCCATACTATTCAATATTACTTGAAATCAGAACTAGCCTATCAGTTAGAACAACTGAAGTTGTCATGCCCTTGATTCCTGGTTGAACTACAGTTTACTGTTTGGCATTCCTGGGAGCAGGTGTTTAGAGTTCAAATGTCCACAGTTTAGACGCTAGTGTCCCTGGGTATATGTCCGCCATGTGGCCGCCACCGTATGATTGTTATGATTTATTATTTTTATTTATTTTTTATTATTCTGTATTTTAGTTTTTCAAAAAAAATGTCCGTTTACGTCACGCGTACGTCTCAAAACATTGCGGAGTATAATTAAATATATTATTATTAGTAGATATTTGGATTACGAATGCTATCACAAAATGTCACAATATGCCCACCATATTGGATGCTATGTTTACAAAATGAATGAAGAGTACACTATGCTTATATGGTATGGATATGAAATACAATCAATCATGTCATCCAGGCGAATCAGTCATGTACACACAAATTTTACAAAAACGACAACATGGCTAATCGAAATATCTCACTCATAAACACCGTGTACATTGCAAACGGTATACAGTTACATTTACACTGAATGAGCAAATCGGAATAAATCAGACAAGGTACACGGAGAACATATTGAAGAAGTAATGTCAGGTGTTTCGAAGTCAATTAACTATGCATTTTCCACTGCCGCTAATAAAAGAAGAAAAAAACCCATAACATAATGGGCGAAGGACGTTCTTTATGCGCAATGTCGGTCCTAGATGAACGCAGGTGGTCGTAATATCCACGTAAGTATTTCTTGTTTATGGATTTGTCTGGTCGTGTGACTGATTGTCACAGAGGGAGGGAGCAAATATCAGTAACACAGATAATATGCAAATTATGACAACGATTTGAATTCTGTTTTTTTTATAGTTTACATGATGCTAATATCTGTTGTCATATGCAATTGCATTAGTATGTCACCAGTTCATTTTAACCTGTATTCGTGTCGCATATAATTATTATATGCATTTCAATTATATCTATTTATATACAATATAGATACGGTGACTGCATGGGCATAAATCAATATTACAAATTCTTATGTCTATATAAATATTATATATAGTAATTGCAGCAAGTCCGAGTATGTCATACAAGTATGTTTCGTAACCAGTCGTGCAATAATTATTAAA